GAAATCCTCTGGTGTGAGCATTATTGGCCTGACATTTTCAATTTACTGCAGAGGAAAATGAGAAGACTCCATAGCAGGGAAGATGTTTTTAAAATAGGCTTGGCACCTGGCAAAGAAAAAGAAACTCTCTGTGAGGACGTTCAGACTAATGGATACATAGCATGTTTCCATAGTACTGTAAACCCATAATTCAGGATATTTCCAGCGATGCAGGTACCTTTTACTCTAAAATGTGACTCTCATTCTTCAGATTCAAAAGTGCAAGCAAAATCCTTCTCTGGTCTTGCACAGGTGCAGTAGTTACACATCCTTTCATGATATGCAGTAGTCATCTCCTTCCCAGTGTTCCCAAGTGTCTAAAGAAAGCACCGTTATTCCAGCTGATGGGCTTTAACAGAAGATGTATTTTGCAAGCATTTTTGGCCTTCTTCCTCTAGTCCAGCAACATCCTGCCTAAAATGTGCTGTGTTGAACACCCAGGCTGATGTTCTCAGTCAATGGCAGTGTCACCCATAACTGGCAGGATTTCTACCCCACTTCTCAGGCTCCTGAACAAAAGGCAGGAGATAAAACCTACCAAAAGGTTATCAAGTAAGAAGCCTGATGACCTTATGGAGAGAAGTAGTCCTGTGTCTAAACTCTTCTGTGTTGGCCAGGGCAGAGGATTGAACCCAGCCCGATGTAATGGTTCTCAACAGCAATTGGGTATCAGCAGTGCTTGTGCTCGGTGTTTCCTTTTCAAGTGTAAAATGGGTAGAAGGGACCTTACCCACCTTTGAGGGTAAAATGAACTGCCCAGAGGAGTAGTGGACTCTCCCATACTGGAAATATTTCATACTGGACTCTCCCATACTGGAAATTTTTCATACTTGACAGGGTCCTGAATAACCTAACCTGAGGCCTTGCCTCTTCAACAGAAAGTTGGACCAGATGATGCTGAGTCCTTTCCAGCCTTGTCTTTTCTACTAGACACTTATGGTTTATGTGCCTATGTGACTACCAGCACAGCAACACTTTAGCTCCAATTAAGTCCTAGTTCTGCACTGACGTTCTTCCTCTTTCCATTCTTCTCCCTCACTCTCTGCCCCCAATTCTGAGCTGGAAAAGATCTATTTTTACAAGTAGAACTTAAAGAGAAAATGTGAAGTTGCGACTGCCTGAAAGCTCAGGAAATAAAGCACATTAAGTTGCCAGTTCTTTTTCTGTCCTTTGGCTTCATCCCCTGACCTCAGTGTTGTCTCTCAGCAAAGAGCTATCCTAGTGCCGTATGTGCTAAGCCTGTAGGGTGTCACTGTGGCATACCTCCTGTGGCATCAGGATTCCTAATTTTTATTGTGCTTAAACAAAAGACCCTCATGCTGCAGTTTTGTCACTATAGAAGGACTGGCCAAGTAGTTATCATCCTCACTTGTTTCTAAACAAATACTATGTATTTTTCAGTCTTGAGCTGTGAAACCTCAGGCAGAATATTAACTGGTAACCACACATAGTCAAGTCTTGCTTTTTGAACCTCCCCCCATTTTGGAGTAGAAGCTCTACTGCTGGAGGCGATGACAAATTGAAGGGCAGAGGCACCAGAACGAATGCACATCTGTCACTGAAGAACACAAGTTTCCTTGAAAATGTTTGCATCCCAAGTGTCTGGACAGTAAAAGTAGTTACTGGGATTTCCTATCCCTGGAGAGTCATTGCAAAGTGGTACTCAGGGAAAACACTTGTTTTACAGATCTCTAAATGGTAATATTTTTCAAGATACAATCCACTCAACAAGCCTTCCAGCCAAATCAGGAGATCCTTGGTAGGCTGCCATCCGGAGGAGCTGTGTGTTGGTAGTGTAGTTTCTCATATCAAAATTATGTAAAGGAGCACATAACTTTTAGCAGAAAACTGCATGTGCTGATTGTTACAGTAGCTGTTTGTTACATTAGCCCACTGATAAACCAGGGCACGTTATCTGCGCCTCGCTCTGGGTAGCATCAATGCATCACCTTTCTGAAATTTCTGAAGAAATTTCCGGTGCTACATAATTGGCACCATTGGGAATCAAAGGAGAAAGCAAAAGGCAGCAAATGATCCTTCAGTGCCGCTCTGATGGTGCACAAGCTGGCATGGGGCTTGGTAGACGGCCGTCCAGTTAAGTGGTGAAGTGATGTGAGGCAGAGGCGAGGAAATGTTGCTGGAGGGAAATCACAACCAACAGCTTGGCCACAGAGTAAAGTGAGAGTAGCATTTGTAACCGGTCGGTAGCAAGGGTAGAGAATGGGAAAGCAGAGAAGAGGACAGAAGAAAGGGACGTCTCATCTCCTACAATCCTCATCTCCTAACTGTTTGCAAGCAATTATGCAAACCTTTTAGCAGGGCCTGTTGTAATAGGACAAGGAGTAATGGTTTTAAACTAAGAGAGGGTAGATTTGGATTAGATATAAGGAAGACGTTTTTTACAATAAGGGTGGTAAAACACCAGAAGCGGTTGCCCAGTAAGGTGGTGGATGCCCCATCCCTGGAAATGTTCTGGGCCACATTGGATGAAGCTATGAGCAAACTGATCTAGTTGAAAATGTTCCTGCTCACTGCAGGTGTGTTGGGCTAGATGATCTTTACAGTCCCTTCCAGCCCAAACCACTCTGTAATTCTATGATAAATGGAGATGTAACTGGAACACTTGCTTCCCTGCCTTGATAGTGTTCTCATTGCTACAAAGCAGCAGGCTGCTAACTCAGGGTAAACAGAGCCTTTTTGTGGTGAGACAGAAAGAAAGAGTCTGTGGGTCTATTACAGACTTTAACAGGGTAATTTGAAGACAGGCAGGTTAAGACTTTGATCTGTTTCTTTTCATTTTTTAATCCATTTGCAAAGTCCATATAAATAGAGCTGTGAAAATGGAACGTGGTTTGGTTTTGCTATGAGCAAATTTTGCCTCAACTGTGCGTCTGTCTCCTAAATGTTGTCACTGTCGAAGGACAGGTGTCCTCAAGAAAAAAATATCAGGCAGTGCCACTTTCACAAATGATGCTCATCTTCATTCATGCTCCAGTTTTTTCTCATCGCTTTTTTTCATAGTACAATATTCCACATAGATTTTTAACGTAAATGTTAAACAGTACTCTGGTACTTCATCAGGAGTTTCTGTACTTGTTTACTTTTAATTAACAACTTTATTCAAAGTCAGCAAGACTTCTCACACATGCCAAAGTTAAGCCCATGCTCAGCATAACTGGTGGATGCATGAGAGGGAGCTGACTTGCTGAGCTACAGCGTTTGGGACCCGAGCCTTGCCTTTGGAGGATGTTTTGCTTTGGAAAGTCACTAATTTCCAACCCCCTCTGGTGCTAAGGCTTTAAGAGGTAGAGAAAAGGACATGCACTTGTTTGAGCTGCATACAAGCCACTAGCCAGGTTTTACTGGGGGCTACCAGGCCTATCTGGGTATCTTCTGCTGACCTTGTTACGGCCATCAGGACACACTTACCAAATGGAGTCGTTGCCGGGCAGTCACATTAACGAACGGCCAGCATTAATTTGCCCTTTGAAAATGAAGAAATCAATATGTTGATCCAGTTGGAAATCCCTTTATTCACAAAACAGTCTACCCCAAACCCCTCCACATAATTAAGGCTAAAGCCAAATTTTGTTTGGGTGAAACATGCAATCTGTCTGCTCCCTAAGCTGTGCTGAATGAAGTTCTCCCCTAATGGCACAGGGAGCAGCTGTCACACTGTTGCTCTAATAACCATGAGCCAAAATGATTAAATTTCCATCAATCATTCAGCATTATCAGAATAGGCCATTTTAATAAAATGTTATCATGGGATCAGTGCCGGGCACCTTAGAAAGGAGACAGTCTTTGAATGATCCTCCTTGCAGGAGATGCCGGTCCAGATTAAACCAGCAGTTCCACCCCATTTTTCATGGGGCTGCCTGATAGCAGGATCTTTTGAGAGCAAAGACATTCCTCCAATCAACTCAATGGCTTTTAGGTTTCAGCCATTGTCCCATTGTTCTTGCACTGTATAAAAAAAAAATCATCAATTGTTCATTTTGGGGAAAATCCTTAACAGGTGATAAGTGGTGTGAGGGGCTAAGCCCTGTTTTCAGAAGCCATTTCAGAGCCAGAAGTTACATGGCAGCATGTCTACCAATTGGGCTTTCTGAAGACATGACAGGATTTCATGGGAACGTTTAAATGACCATACTTTCTGAAAGCCTACTTGATGCCTTCCTATATCTTTAAGCCACCTTTAAAACTCTGTTTCCTTGGTCCCCTTGGTTGAAATGTTCATCTGTTTTCAGTGTTTTACCTACTTACCGTGTCCCTTCATAGTCATCTCCATTCTGGATCCAAGGTATCTCTGCAGTGTCTCTCCCTCTGCAGGGAAGTTTCATGGCTACAGAATAAGATGGACCCTAACCCAGTTTTTAAAGCCAGGTGGACCCTGTCTGTTGATGGTGTATCATGTGAGCAGGAAGATGGAGAACTCCAAAGTCCACACTGAAATTCGTGGTTCCTCACTGCTTCTTTTGAACAGCTTCCTTCGCCCCTCTCCTGCAAGGCTGGCTGTCGATGTCAAACACTGACAGAAGATTTATCCAGCCTTTTGGTGATGCTGAGAAAGGGTGATCATGAAAAATGGAGAAAAGCTGGAGGATCCTTTCATATTTCACCTGCAAATACGCTTAACAAATAGACAATGCACTGGGTTTCTGTAAAACAGATTTGGCCACCATTCTTCTTTGGAGAGAGGGTTTTTTCTTCTCTTTTTTGGAGCAGCTAAACCAACAATAAAACTCTCAAACCTTGGCAAAGGAGAAGCATTTTGAGGCAGGGTCACAGTGCAACATATTCCTTGCTATATGTTTGAAGCTTCTGGGTGCCAACAAATCTAAATTGCTCATCAGTGTAAGCTGTTGTCGGGTTTGTATGTGTGCTTGGTTGCCTTTTTTGTTGTGCTTTTTTCCTGTATGCAGTAGTCTCACTGTCTTCTTTTTCTTTTTCCTCTCCAGGCCCTCAAACTGACACGAGATGTAGAGAGAGAACCCTTTGCCAAATCTGCTGTCAGCAAGTGGACAGTGATACTGTTTACAGCTTACAACCTTTGTGAACCCTGCATTGTTTTCCTAATGAAGCAGACTGTTAATAGGCCCCTTACTGGAGTGAAGATCCTACCTTTTTTTTTTTTACCTTTTTTTTTTCTTCCCCTCCTCTTTTCGTTGGAAATTGAACTCATTCTGAAGTATGCAAAATCTTCCTTTTCTGGGATGGCCAAGCACCTGCTGTGGAGACAATGTTCAGCACCATCCTGTTGAGAACACACTGTGTAGCCTTTTACAGTAGTTACTTGTCAATGAGTATGTGGTGTTTCAATATATTAATGGTTTATGGGATGTTTTAAGTTGGTTTTCTTTTTGGAGGTTTTCCCCATCTGCCCAGCCTCCCCCCTACAACCTCCAGTTTGATTTCCTTAGATTTTTGACCATTTTTGCTTTCTCGCCCTGGGGAATTTGAAGTACTGTGCACACGCAAGGAAATGATCATAACCCAGCACTGCTGAGGTGCCAGGGTTTTCTGAATATAGAGCATATGTTAGACCGATCAACTGGCTGAATTCCAGAGAGAGGGGGTGCGCGTACCCTGTTCACTTGTTGGGTTGGTTTGTTTGTTTCTTTTTTATTCTTTCCTTAAATTTAATGGTACGCCCCTGCCTTCTGTAAGTGTCAAACCAGAGCTGATTGCAAAACAAGGGAAGATAGTGGGTTTGCCTCTTGGTTCATGGGGATGGTCTGACAGCGGGTGCCGTTGCCCTCATGTGCACCAAGGCAGGAGCCTGTGTTCTGCCCAATGGAGCAGGCTCCCCTCCTGCCTTATGTTGGTAAGGCTGCCCCTACTGCCACAGTGAGCTGGTGAGGAGTTGTGGGCTGAGCTGCCAGACCAGGTGAACATAGCCACCTGTAGAGATGCATTTGAAAAAGCAAAAAGTAAAGGAAATGTAGCAGCTGGGCATCGGCAGGTGACTTGCAGTGACAATGCCGGGAGCTGAGGCACAGGTCACTGCAGGATGTGTTACTGCATCAGTGATCCTTTGTTGTTGTTGTTGTTTTAGACATATCCTTGATTATTTTTTCCTTCTCATTATGTATAATCCATTGTGGCAGAAGAAGCAGGAGTGGGAATGGCAAGGTGACAGTATCATACAAATGGCTTTTTCACATGAGCATAGATTGTATCAAGATAAATGACACTGAAAGACAAGGCAGTTTTATATATTTTGCTTCTAAGATTTTCTTTTATAAAATGAATAATAATTAATAATAATAATGAATAAAAGGTATGGTGCTGTATAGATCCTCTCTATAATCTGGAAATTTGATTACTTTTTATTAGTATCTTGGGGGGAAAGGGATACAAAAAAAAGAGGTACATAGGAACTCAATATGAAGAAGTTCTGAACAGGACAGTGTTCATAATTCTCCAAAGTGATATATGAAGTTTTTTTTCTTTGCATAAAAGCATTATGCATATAAATATATAAATATATTTTATTATGTACAGAAATGGATCATTATGCATGGATGTTAGGAAAACAAACTAGCATTTTAACCCAAAGTCTCAGTGCATGAGTTCCCTCTGACACGTGTCCCATGCAATGTGGAGTGACTCCCTCTTGCCACTGCCACCACACATGCACAGCCATGCACAGATGCGTGCATTTGTGGGCCCTTCCTCACTCCTTACTTTCCAGGTCCCTGAGGTGATACAGGTGAAACAACAGCTCCTAGTGTGATGGAAGTTTTGTTTTTGTACCGTAGCCTCCACGCTGTTCTCTCACAAAGAAGCACCTCTTGGTTTCTCCTCCCAGTTATGACTGTGTAGGCTCTGTGCAGTTGTGGTTAGCATAGCCCTGTAGCATATCAACTCTTCCAAGAAGCCAAGGGTTTATCATTTGCCTTTTAAAAAAACTTCTTTTTACACTGAGGTGGTCTGTTTGTCAGCGTGTGGCTTAGTTTATTGCGTTCATTGGAGTTGGCTGGTGCTCATTGCCCATCTCTATCAGAAGCCAGCCTCCCAGGATGCTTGTGTGGCACACCTGGGCACCTTGCTTATTGGAGTCCAGTTGCAAGCACCTTTTACTGAAATTGGGCTAGGGTTTGTCACTGGCCTCCTCTGAGCATGTACCGTTAGCTCTCAGCTTCCCAGTACACCCCAAAATGTGGGTCTATGCTGAAGGACCCCTCTAGTGCTTCTTTCCCTGAGGCTTCTTTGCAGCTGCCACCTTGCGGCTGGACTTGTGCCCTGGCCCCGTGGTTTTGGCCTCTAGCAGAGTTCACTCTGTGACTCCCCATGCTGGGGTGCAGCATTTGATCCCTGCATGATCCCTCTTCAGTAAGACCCGAGGAGCCTGCCCAAAGACCCACCAGCCAGGTCACTGACAGATCCAGTAAGACCTGACTTGATGGTATGGCCAAGGTGACCAAAACTCGTAATTTTTTTTGTCGTGGTACAGATTAAGTTCTTGTCAAAGGCAAGGGAAGGCCTGTTAGCTTAAACAAAGTGTGGGCAACTTCTGCTCTGTTCTGGCAGCCTAGCCTGCTTGAGTTCAAATGAGCTGGCTCCTGCTGTCAGAAATGAGAGGGAAAACTATGGCCTGCTCTGTTCAGAAAATGGAGAAATAACACCTGATTTAGAGACAGCCCATCAATGGCAAAGAAGTTTTTTTAAAAAAGTAACAAAACATTAGCAGCTGAAAGGCTTAACCTACCTCCCAGCAGTGTCAAGGAGAGCATTTCCATTGGTATGGCTGGAACACCTTGAGCCCCTGCTTTGGAGAACATCCCAGCACTTGCTGAAGAGGGTTGGACTTGGCCTTGGTTTGGTTTCTCTTGCTCATTTTTGGGGCCAAAATTTTCGAGTGAAAGTGCCTGGTGTCAGGCACTGAACACTGGGAACTCCAGTGTGGTCACAGAGGTTGAGCTGCTCTGCCCTCATCACTTCTTGAAGGAAGGGGAAGTGACAGGTCCCCCCAGGCCCAGGGGAAAGTCATCCTCCTCTACACCTGCTGAGGTGCCCAGCAAAGGTCCTTCACTCCAGAGGTGCTAAATAAATCTCACTGAATTCAGAGGGCCACTTACTTAGGTGTCAAAATACAGACTTGAATAGCTAATTTTGGGAACCTAAAAATTTGGCCTTTGAGTCTTTGAACATGTTTATGCCTAGAAGTTTTCATTGTGAAATCATGTAAAACAGATAAAGGTCATGGTCACAATTACGTGGTTTGAACACTTGGTCTAAACAAAAGGTCTAAAAAGGTGTTATTTATGCAGTTTCTAGTCACAGATTGGGGCTTGATTTAATGATTTTGTAAAAAAAATTTCTCTTGAGAATAATGGGATCGTTAAACACTGTTTTACTCTAGAAATTGTTGTGCCACCGCTTAAAAAAGTTACCTTTTAGGTTATGTATTTCTCTAAAATTATGTCATTGCTTGGCAATCAGTGTCCTGTAAGTGTTTCTAGTACGCTTCTAGAATTGCCAACAGATGCACAGGGGGACCAGATACATTTCGTTACTATGGGTTGGAAAAAATGGATTGTACATTTGGCTTCACATGTTTAACTTTTTTTTTAAAAAGTTGCATGATTGGAAAAAATATGTATACAGTATCTGTAAAACTGTTTTATCTGTTTCTGTTTCAAGCCATGTAAATTGGAAGAATATTAAATCCACAGCCTTATTGCGCATGGCCGTCTTTACATACTGAAGAGCTGAACAGTTTATACTTTTCATTTGGGCTATCTTGTACTTTCATTTGAAAGCAGACACTCTCACGTTGCAGTCTTACTGAGGATTTTTTATTTAAAAAAGAAAAAAAAAAAAAGAAAAAAGATGCTGCCCTGGAGGAATATATTACCTTACTACTCAGAGGTTGGAAGGAAGTTTGTTTTGGAGCAAAACCTGCCCCTTTCCAAACGAAGTAGAGACGCAGTGCTTACTCCACTTGGTGTTAGTAGATATTGCCTTGTGTATTCCATTTTAAATTGTAATCTAGTTTGTAAAAGAGATGGTGACGCATGTAAATAAAGCATAATGGATCTCTACATTGCACATTTGCCTTCCCTCTGTTTTATTGTGTCATGGACAGACGTGTAAACACAGGACCTGGAGAAGGGGTGATTTCCAAGCAGCAGGTGAGAACAGGTGTGGGGGGGTCTGGAGCTGGGGAGGGGTCCCGATCCTGCATCCGTTAGTATCTGTAAATCCATATTGACGTGGGCCTCTGTGCTTCAACCCTTCAGCCAAGCTAGCATAGTTTTGGTGGTCAAATAACCCCCGGTGGGATCATTTACTGCTGCTAAAAAAATCACAAAGTTCACTTGATTTTGGGGATGGGGGGGTTGTCCCCTGGGGTGGCAGCTATACCCTGCAGCTTGCAGACGAGTTCGCCTGACCTGGGAGACAACCAGAGCAACTGCAGACCTGTCAGAGAAGAGTTACAAACCCACCCCTACCCCTCCCTCCCCCACTGTGGGCTTGGCTGGGTTTCAAGCTGTCTTTGAAAAATGCTTGGAGTACTTAAAACCACCCGTTAGGGATTTGGGATAAGAAAACCAACAGCCTGACTCGGCAAAAAGCTATACTGAGGGCTCTGGCCAAGGCACTAGGGAGCATGCTCAGAAACATGAGACGTGGGCAAAAAATCTTCTCCCACCCTGATGGGAAGCCCCAGATGTATATGGAGTTTTGGAGTTGTTTTTCAGGAGCAAATTATATTTTCAAGAAAGAGCAGCCTTTCCTCATGGGAGAGAAGGGTTTCAAATTACTCCAGGGGGACAGCCTCCATGTCCATGCAGAGCCCACAGGAATGCTGTGCTGTAGTGCAGCAATAAAGAACAGCTTGGGGATATCCCTTGTTTAAGAAAGCAAGAGCTATTCAGGCTTTGTCCTAACTAGAGATAGCCTGAAATATTACAAGATCCAGTCAGAGAATACTCTTTGACCAGGATGAAGTGCGTGTTAGCCTTCCCAGAGTGAGAGCACACTTGTCCTGCAGCAACTGCAGCTTCTCCTCAGAAATTGAGCTGTTTTGCTTGGCTTTTTTTCTGAAGACTTCTCCAACAAGGCTCTGTCAGGAAAGGACCCATGTCCTCTGCCTCTTTGGCATTGTCCCACTGGTATTTGGCATAAAAGATGAGAACATTTGGCCCAGTGAGGTGCCAGGTCAAGCTCTGACCTGAATTTAGGCAGGGGCAGCAGCAGCAGCAATGATGAGCTGATCAAATTCTTTGTGAGTTTTGTGCTGAACCTACTTGGTTGTGTTGTGCAATGCCTTAGCTGTGACCTTCAGTTCACCTGGCCTTGGAATAGATCATTCTTATCTTTCAGAGTACTTTCAAAATAAGTCCAAACATTTTAAAACTTCTCCAAGTTGTCCCAGAAGACAAAAGATTTTTCAAGTTGCTTCTGAGGCTGGTGAGGCAACCAAGAGCTATTTTAGGAGCTCCTCACCACATATGCTGAGTTGCGAGTTCAACCAGCCCAGGGAAAACAGTATTTTACAGCTCTTGTTTGGCTAGTGCTGCCAAGGAAGTTAGGGGTGCTTTCAAGAAGTTTTAGATAAGCAAATCTGAGACGCTACCTCTTTTACTGGTGGAGTCACCCTGACTGGAATCTCCCTGTTCAAAAGGAAGTCTTCTCGGATGATGTGGAGCCCAAGCCAGATGGAGTAGATACTGCTCTTGCTGGTGCACAGATTCATCCCACTGCCAGCGGCTTCTGTATTGTGTCATGGCATCTCTGTTTGCCCAACTCAGCCCACAGAGCTTTTTTTCCCACTGGCTCTGCCTGTGAAATTTTTAAAAATGAAAATATATTTATCATATAAACACAAAACATAGAAAATTCCATTAGAACAAAAAAAAAAATTAAGCTTTTTTTTTCTTAACTGCTATTTAAATCTTTAAGAAATTTTGGAATTATCTGAAAAAATTCAGTCTTCAGTTTGGAATTTTTACTTTTGCACCTGGATTTTCTTTTCATACTCATAACATGAGCAGTTTTGCATATGCCAAAACATTTACTTATTAGAACAAAGCGTTTCCTGCTTTTATTGTTTGATGGTTTGATGACATACCAAGAAGCAATTTAATCTAGAAAATGAGATAAAATGTCCCAATTCAGTAGAGCAATTGGCCTCAATGAGGGTAACTGTTGTAACATTCTTTTAATTTTACATTATACCATGCAAGTTTAATGTCTGTATCCTATGAATGATATCTGGAGAAATGGGGGGAAACCAGTAAAAATAAATGTGTGCTGGTTTAAAGGTAAACCGGCAGGGGAAATGAACTCAACTCAAAAGAGAGACTATAAGTCAGCATAACAATTTAATAAAATAATACAATAAGTACGATTATACAGACAAACAATTGGTTTTAACCCACAAAACCCAAATGTACAACCCAGCACCCTGGGGCATGAACAGAGTGGTGTTCTTTGGGCCCCCTGAGTCCAAAGTAAAAGGAGAGGGGAAAACTTGTTGGTGAGAGTGCTGTTGCAGTCTGATCAAGAGTGGTGGTTGCAGTCTGGTTGAAAAGTGGTGGTCTGCAGTTTGGTTGAGAGCGGTGATCTGCAGTCTTCCTCTGGATCCCACGAGTGATTAAAAAAGTTCCAAGACTCCAAGATTATATATTCTCCAGTTCAGGCAGCAATGCCCAGTACTTCCCTCAGGGCGGGGAGTTCCACAAAGGGTGTGAGGACAAGGGAGGCACCCTCCTATCTTGAAGGCCTCTTAACACCTAGTTCATAGCCTGAGGAGTCAGGCTGCTCTGGGCAGAGGGTGTAAATAGTCTATTGATAACAGTTTCTGGGAAATGGCATGGAAGGCTATAGAATACACAGTTTTGGGTTACACCCATACAGTGATGAACTAGTCCCAGCTGTTCTAACTAGGACAAAATGATCTCTCATAAAAAGTATTTCCAACTTCTGAGACAAATGTAATCCTGATCAGGACTCCCTTCCCTCAATTTTCACTCTTTTTGAGGTGATACTTTGAAACTTTGGTTTTCCTGAAATTCAAAGCACAAAGCAGTTCCCAAGTTGTTGCTTCTCTCTGGAGATTAGCCTTGCAGCAGTGCTTATCATCTGTGCATGCTGCCCTGCAATGGGCATTGAGGCTGCTGATAGCACCTGTGGAGCCTGACCCCACATGAATGTCAGGCTTTGGCTCTATTTCATGCTCTGGAGGCCTCCATAAGCCCTGAAAGATCCCATAGCTGGTCCAGCAATGTCCAAGGTGAGAGAACGGAGAGGACATCAGTGGGAGCAAAGCAGATGCCAGCACCCTGCTCTGTTGTGTGATAACCTCTCTGAAGCTTCATCTGCTGCACGGACAATGGTTCCTTCTTCTGTTTGTAACCACGTTGGAAAAGGATGACATTGGTTAGAAAGTGCTAATCAAGAAATACAGATATACACTACCTCTGCCCTCCAAAGCAAGAGATGGAGAAAAACTGTGCATTGGCACAGCCACCTCAGAGGTCCTCACTGGGGAGCAGGAGGGAAAGGTCCAGCCTTTCCAAGCCTCTGCTGTGAATGACTGACCTGGTATCTGTCTTGCATTTGTTGTTTCAGTAGAAAACTCATACTTCACTAACCCTTTACCTTAAATCTCTATGGCCTCCTCATACTTAAGGTTATCCAGGTTTGTACACCATTAACTAGTTCATGGGTGAATGTTGTGGAAAAAAGTCACTACTTAGAAAGCAATTCATAAAAGACATACAGTAATAGTAATTTTTAAAAAAGTAGTCCTTTTACTCATTAAATGAAATCCAATGACATTCTCACTTCTCTTGAGAGTCATACTTGCGATATCAAACTCTGTTACCAATCTCAGCGTGCATCTCTTAGGCAAAATTTATGGCGAGTCTGTCTCATTTATACAGAAGTTTTGCTATGCACTGTCACTCAGCCTAGCAGACTCCCATGAAAAAGCCACAGTTTAAGTAATAATTCTACTGTGCCTGAGCAGTGATAAAATTATAGTGGCTTTCAGAGCTGGGAGATATCAAAATCTCTTCCTGGAGAAGGCAGCTACCTTTGCATGTCTGCTCTGAAGCTTCTGCCTCCGGAGAACATAGCAGAGGGGAAGGTCAGGCACAGATATACAGGGGGTCTTAACTTTGCAGTCGAGTTGCGTTTGCTCTGAAGTCCAGGTGAGGTGGGCTGCAGTGTTATCCCCAAAGGGTCAGTGCTGACCACCTTACCACAGAGCAGAAGGGGTTATGTGGGAAGTTACCCTGGAGTAACACAAATGCAAAGCCTCACTTCCCTTTTCCTCACCCATAACTAGCACTTCAGGGTGAGCCCATTTCACTCTGTTTTTCACTAAAGGACTTCAAGGTGACAAGTTGTCTGCAGAAAGTGTCCTGAATTGCTGGGTCTTCAGGGACATGGCTGAGATTCTACTGCTACATTTCCAGCCTCTTAAGTCTCCTGCCTGAATATCTTTGCTTTTTCACAATCACCTCACCTTCCCTTGCCAAAGCTTTGTTCTCTTATTAAGAAAGGGCCTTAGAGACGATGACATGATGTTGCTGTTAGCAGGAGCCTCTAGTGGTTTGGTTTTCCTGCACAAATGCATGTGTGAGGAGCAGGGGGGTGGCCAGCTCCCACCTTACCTATCTTATGGACCATGCATCTGAGCGGACATCTCTGTCTGTGCACAGAAAATGTCAAGAGATAAGAGCACACAGGAATGGAAAATAAAACAGCATGTGAAAAGGGCTTAATAAATGACTCTGCCATGAGGGCACCTGAACTACTCCTTCATTCCCTTCAATCATTCTTCCATTCATATCTGAAGTCACCAGTACTTTCCATTGCTGTCAGCAATGATCTTTCTATCTTTTGATCCCCATGAATCTTTCTTTGGAACGAAATCTTTTTTTTCTTCTTTTTTTTTTTCCTTTTCCCATTCTCTGATTTTTTTTGCATTCCTTGTTTTTCTAAGGCCAGTTATTAAAATGTTTGTGGGGTCAATTATGTACGTTGTGGATACGATTATTTTTTATAATGCTTTTGTTTAAGCAAGAAGCCCAGGT